ATATTATACGATGTATTATATGCTAATTTCGACCAACTTTTATAGGGATATGAATAACGAATCTAAGTGTATTCAATATATATTTAAACATACTTGCATAAACACTGCGAAATTTTAGACATGTAGAAATTAGAGGGAAATATAAAAAACACAGAAAATACGAAAAATATAACGAAAAAAGAAAGCGTAGATATAGCAAACATAGAAAATAAAGAAAATTTACATCTATATTTTTCCAACGAAGAGTACAGGAATACCAACTGGCAAAATTCAAGTGACAGAGCCAGTCGTAAGCAAAGAAGAACAAAATCGTTGTTGGACCTTTCGGAAGAAATATTTAAATCACGATTTCCTGTTTTACTTGACAATTGGAAAAACCAGTATCTCTCTGTAGAATCGATGAGAACGAATCAGTCGGGCGACAGGGATACGCGTTCTCACGAATCGTGTCAATAAGAGGAAAGAAAAACATGAAAAGAAGCAAAAAAAAAAAAAAAAAAGCGAGGCACACTAGGAATGGTGACGGAGCAGCAGCCGGCAATGAAATATTCTCGCTCACAATGACTAGCCTTAATTATTGCAGGCCGCGATGAATGCTAATTCAACATTTTTCGCGAGCTCGCGAAATAGCCGACACAGAGACAAGTAGCGCTGATTAACCGACACTCGAGCTAGCCAGTATACTAAATTCGAGAGAGACTGCAAGCCGGTCTGCTGTTGTTTGCCAGTCGAATTTAATTAACAACGGTAATCAGGCTACTTTACTTTCACTTGGCCGACGAAAGGACACAATCGTGTTCGAATACGATGCTTGGACGCTGAGAATTTTTGACTGTTTTCTCATCCGCGGTGATACGTTTATGCCGTCTATACCATTGCTTTTTTCGCTAACGGAAAAATTATACGAGATTCGTTTGTTTGTTTCCTTGTCACATAGAGTGGAGTTTGCACGGAGATAAGAGATGATACGTTTTAAAGCCGATACGTTATAGTGCGTTCAGAGTTTAGACCGAATGAGCGAATGCTTCTTTTCCCTCTACTTTAGTAAGATCGAAGCGAAGGTGTAGACGAGCATGGGTTTCGTCGTTTGACGGTCGACGAAAAGAACGTTTCAGATTAAAATACTTCGTTGCTACGAAGGGATACTTTGTCTGTCTTGAACTATTCGTTAACGAGCTTTATGACATTACAACCCTTCAAACGGATGACCGTAATTGAAAGTTGAAATTGGATTACACGTTGAAACTGGACACCTACTTTCCCAAACGATTGCTTTCAGATTGATAGTTTCTTCTTTCGATTGTTAACCTTAACGTAGATAAGCAAAGCGGTAAGAATTCGAACCTACTCGTCTCGATATTTTATTAGAAAATGTATTCTTCAAATACTTATTTAAATTGCCACTTAAACTGGCAGCATCTTTCCAATTTAACGAACGCAAAAAGAATCATGTAACGAAGGATGACCTGCTTCGACGAATTAATTGCAAGCGGCTTCGCGATTGCGTTGCGTTAATTTTTACTTCTGCATCCTCGTTCGTGCAAGCGATATAATTCACGAGTAATTCGAGCTCGCCTAATTAACCTCGCCATCACCGTTATTTTTCGTTTCGAGCCGGGCTGATTTACGCGAACGATAAAATTAATCGGTCGATCGTTGTTAGTTCGCGATCGTGTGCCAAGGAAAGCTTCGCGATTCGAAGTCGAGCATCCTTAAATATCCTGAAAGGTAAGAAAAGTTCAAGCGCATCGAGGTCAGACCTATCGATCTTCCTCTGGCCTACGCCTTCGCTCCAATTCCCATTACTTCCGAATCACAATCAGTTCTCTCTCTCTCTCTCTCTTTCTCTCTCTTTCTCTCTCTTTCTCTCTTTCTCTCTCTCTCTCTCTCTCTCTCTTTCTGAAATACCTTTAAAGTCGAAATGCCGCTTTGGGAAACAAATCTTTCGAATTGAAATTTATTCATTTTGTGTTGTGTTAGAAAGATTTGCATATCTGAATTACTAGGCAGACAGAAACATCTGAATAATGGAATTTTCATGTAATAGAACAATCGCTTCTCTCATTTTAATACGTTGACACATAACTTTCATATGTTTTGACACACGTAAAACGTTGAAATGCACTATACACCGTAACGTTTAATTTTTGCAAGATATCATATCGTATTCGCGCACATTTTTCTGACAATGTAATCTCTGAGCCACTCGTATCGTTGAACACTTTTGTTTCTTTCATGTTTTCTATAAATCTGCCACGATCTACATCTCTATTATACGAAAAATGTTTTGAAATTATAAGAAGAGACGCGACCAAAAAAAAAAAAACTGTCCAAAAATTTCTGCCTTCTATATTCTTCGTTCTGCCTTCCTATCGATTCGGATGCTTCAGGTTCTACCGTAATTATTATTGACAGGATGAAATCAACCGACTCGTCCGGATCATATGGATAATTTATTTACAAGAGTAAAACATTATGTACAAGAATGCGTCGAGAATCGTGTGAAAACAATACATGCTGAGAGGTCGTGTAAAGGGAACACAGTTTCATTCGTTATTTCTGTCTTTTTCTTTTTCTTTTTTTTTTTAACCGGCGTTTAGTTTCACGTAAGAAATTATACAAGTTCACGTGGTATACACATACACAGAGATTTTTTCTTACGTCTTATTTCGTTCTTTCCTCTGATCGTTCTCGTAGCCCTGAACTGCCATCATTTTTCCCACCGACGAATATTCGACCACGCTTCGAAGTCGTCGTTAGAGCATTACGACCCTGAACTCCAGCAACGAGGGCCGTGCTTAATACAAAAAAGTGATTAATTACGTGTCGTTCCGTTTGGGGAAACTTCGACAGAGAAAAAAGATGTGAACTCCTTTTTCATGTTGGAAACAAATCTTTTAAAGCGTACGACAAGAGACAAAGGTATTCGTACGACCTTATTGTTAATTGGACCAGGTTAAAATAACCTCGTAAATAAATAAGTAAATAAATAAATAAATATATAAAAGTATTCGTACAATTGGTATATAATAGAAATAAACGGAGAACTATTTTTTATATATTATTAAATGTATTGAAATATATGTAACCGTCCGTTACACATGGTAATGTTAGTAATAGTAGATACTCGCAGTAATGTACACAGACAAATGTTAATTGAATTATTTAGGACGAGACTCGCATAATAATAACACTTTATCAAGATGGAATTGCTTGTATAGCGGCATTAATTGATGTTCGTGTTATAATTAATATGTAGTTTGCTTTTTTCAGGAATAACAACTACTTGCAATCTACTGAACACACGGATAATATTAAGCTTTTGACGAAATTTTCTATTATTCTATATATTTTCTCAGTCTTTTCTTATTAAGATGTCCTTTTTGCATTTACAGGCCATTTGCGGATTAACTTTGAACATATTATAGAATATGATAATTTTCCAAACATTTTACCAAAACAATGCCCATGTCTGTTAAACATTGTACTTTGCCATTCTACGCTTTAGCAAAACGTGCAAAACGAACTCGTTAGGAAATTCGGTCAATATTTCGCAACTATCAAATTCAAAAAATTTGTCGGAACCAATAAACAACATCCATTGAAAAGAAATTGTAAAAGCACAATGGCTCGGAATATAAACTAGAAACGAACATAACGATAACGTAACGATATCCACGTTGCTCGATCAGGGTGTTGACGCTTTGAACAACTATTAAAAAATCGGCGATTCGTTAAAATCGTGACGAGGGACAGACGAATATTTGCACACAGTATAAAATTCGCGACGACGACAAATTTTACTCTGTCTCGCTTCACCGAGAACTTGTTCGGAAGTGGCAGTCCAGGGATGTGAATCCCCTTTGTTTCACCCATTTCTTCTTTTCTTTTTCGCTTTCTATTTCCATTTATATTAACGTTTACTCGGTAGTAGAAAGTATTTCGTCAAGAGATGGAGTGTAGATGGGAGTGGAGGGGGATAATTCGGTGGACATCGTATTTTCTACGACGACGTCTGGCCTTTTTAGTTTCTTTTCTTGTTCGGAAATTTTAATATGTTCCTCGTCTAATTAACATTCTTCTTACAGACTCTCTCTGTTTCCTTTCATCCTACCACATTCACTCTCTGTTTTATTTGTATACTTAGTATGAGACGAAAATTAACGAAACGATTAGGCATGGATCGAAAGTTGTATTCCGATGGATGAAAATTCGAATTGTCCCAAAAGGCGACGTGCTTTTTGATTGCACTGCGTTGAAACTTACGCGATATATTGCCAGTAAAAAGTAACAATCTCATGTTTCTAATTGCATGTATATGATTCTGGAATAGTTTCGTAAAAAAAAAGAGCGAAAATGGAAACAACATAGTTTTCAAACTGGTTAAAACGTTGAAATAAATGCAAATTAAAAGGGTGAGTAAATAAAATAAAGTCAAAATTCAGTACAAAATAATTAATTTAGAATATAATTTTAGCAAATGAAGAAGAATTGAAGCAACGAGATACATCAAGATCCATCGCAATCGTTACGATTCTCGTTCATTGAAACACGCTATATTTCGTCAAACGAACATACAAAATTTCTTATTCGACCAGGTACTCGTTCTCGATCGATTCCCAATTTATTCGAACGAAAGCACTCACGTGGAATCGAACGAGATCGAGAGCCATTTGAGAATGACGCAGCCTGAAGATATGAAAATCCTTCTGGATTCAACAGGGAAATGAACAACTCGACGATAGAAAAGAATAATTGGTGCGCGGACGAGAAAGATTCGTTTGGCCTCTTTTACGGCTCTTTAAGCCTCCAGAGGTCTCGTCTCTCCGCTATTTTAATTTATCACGCGAATCCAGAGTAATTTTTCCATCGTCACGCGTCGTTTCTGTGTGTCTTCGTTCTTCTGTACAAACTCATGCGCGTGTCGTACGTGTTATGCAACATACGCAGTTTTTTCTCTTTCTCTCTCTCTCTCTCTCTCTCTTTCTCTCTCTCTCTCTCTCTCTCTCTCTCTCTCTCTTTCTCTCTTTTCCATAAAATTGTACGTTACAAAACATTGTTTCGTTAATCGAGTGGAGATCGCGTCTAACGATCTATTTTATTAATATTTATCATCGTACGAGTACTATGCGATTACGCACTTGTGGCTTGCTTGTGTGTGAAACTTAGACATTTTATATATGGGTTTTATTTTAAAAATTATAAATCGCTGGTACGTGATTTTTATTTGCATCCTGCTTGTTTCTGTTTTATATTAAATGTTGTGGTTCTGGTGATTAGTTGTTTGAGCTTCTGAAACAGTTTGTAAAAATATCGATGGTGAGAGACAGCGAATAGCGTTGGCTACTTAAGATACAAGCCGTCGAGCTGATCTAACGATAAGATAACACAGATAACGATCGATAAATTATTATAAAACGTCTTTAGATTAAATATGCGTTGAGTTTGAGTGATTTTCACGATCATTTGGTTTCTAGATGCGATTGTCAAATAGTCTTTGGTAATTGACGATCGGAAGACTATTTTGACAATCGATAGGATGAATTCGTTCGTTCGTATATCGAGTAACAAAGAATTTTTATACTTCGAGATATTTTCCATGATATTTTATCAATCTTTTTATAAGCTTATGAAACGACCTAATTATTCTGACATAATAGCATTCTGAAACTAAATTCGTCGTACGACATAATTGCCAATTATACGAATAAATCCGTATTAATATTTCAAAGATCTTTCACCGAATAAAAATTCGAAAAAGAGAGAATCAGGAAAAGAAAACCGTGCTGAAGGTTAAAGAATCCTGTGGACTTCAATTCAGGCGTTAATACCCTCATTGTTCTCTCCTCTTTAAGAACCGTCCTTTCTTCTGCTTTTAGACCGAGATCGAGTTATTTCACCACAGAACAATCAAACAAACTCTTTGTACCACAAAGACAGTTCACGCGGATTTGCTCGCAGGAGCACGGTCGAATGTTTCCAAAGGCTTCCGCAATAAAATTCACAATCCACATTGTTGATACGCATGTTCGCCGTAAAACAGCTTCCTTTCATTCTTCGACTTCCTCGTCGCGCGGTGTTCTCTACATTTCTTCCATTTATTACGAAAGATTAAAAGAATCATCATATGTTAAATATTTTTTCCAGATACGATTAAGATACAAAGAGTTCGATCTCTACAAATGTTTAAATTTGGCAGGCCAATATCAACCAGTAAACATTGTCATATTATCAATTGTCAACTAATTGGCGAAGAAGAACTTTGTTATATATAATGACTTTAATGACATTTACAATGAAAACATTGAAACTGTACTATTAAGCAACATGGGTAATCACGATATTCGGGTCTTGAAAATCTTTGAATTTTGAAAATGATAATTCTCGAAAATTGAAAGCGACGAAACTAAATAGTCGTGGAGAAAGTGTATCGAATAATATTGAAGTTACTCGTCAGTCAAAATTTTATGTGAGAAACGCCATATTTTATATGTCGATTAATTTCATAAATGTATAAAATACATTGTTATCTAAAATTCATTTTTGTCACGAGTTCTTTAAATGCTATCCTCATTTTTGTCTCGTACTCTCTCAAATTCCCCCTCTCTATCCATAAAATATTTCGACAAAGTAAAATAAGAATAACAGGATCGTCATGATTATAGGTTGCAGTTGCTAAACTCGTCTCGCATTCCCTTCAAGTTTCCCTCGGATTTCGACAAGAATTCGCATTTCTCCATCATGCATTTGGAACCGGATAATGCACGTCTCATTCAAGAAACACACAACGAAGCGTAAAACTCGATATGCTCCGGGATTCGCGAGTTTCCCTCCGAAAACGTGTGCTATCCTGCAACGTTGTAATATCAGAATTTCTTTTCGTTGAAACTAGAGGCATCCGTGAGAGAGAATCCCTTGTCAATATTGGCCTGTGTTACAAAATAATGCCGGCGTCTCCTTTGTGGAAGCTGAAAGCTCCATATCTGAACAAAAGCGAATGAAACACACGTGTTCACTGTTCACATGACATTCTTTCCCTTTTACCTTATTCCACGTTGAAATATATTAATTTATTAACTAATACGCGGTATTTGTCGTCTCACTTTTCCAGCTTTCACTAAAAATGTATAAAACATATTGTATTAAATGTTTTAATTCCATAGAAAGAGAAACAGTAGCAGCAAACATAGAATTTATATAAACAATTAAATATTTAACATATAGCGCAATTTTTTAAGAATTGTTACGCAGAAAAATCCAGATAACGATTTTCGAACGAAGTAATCAAATCTTTGAAAAATACGAGATTTTTCTCGAGAAAATTTATATCTCGCCAAAGATTCGCACAGCTATGAAAATATCCACTAAAATTTTCTTTGCCACGAACGAACGAACTCTTTCGTTATTGGAACGATCGCTTTCGTCTTGTAACAATTACAATATACATAATCGTCCTTACTAATTCGCAAACTTACACATCGAATTTACCATGTTCGAGCACACGTTCACGCTCTTACATGTTACAATTTCTTTTTTTCTTGTTCATTGAATCGTCGCTTACAATATATACCATGTACAATGTTACTTCGATATTTTGGTTTCCTTATTTCGATGACACTAGAACGCGCTAGAAATTTGCAAGTTATTACACATATCGAACCTGGGATACTACGACGACGTTTTCGACAGTTTTCACCTATGGATGCATTGAAAGTCGCGATTTTCAACGCGAAACCGGCCGTGACAGAGTTCCTTCATTGATATATGTTTCTTCCTTCACTGAGAACTGAACATTTTTTAACGAGCAGCAATAAAAAGAAATTGCACTCGAAGAAGCTTTCTTTTCGTAAAACTTAATTCATTAATTCATCGGGCAATGGCTTCTGGACTGATAAATTTGGCGAGCATAGTTTCGAGAATTTGACGGTTGAAGTTATGTTTTGAAAAGGAATTTCGAACACGACGACAAAAGATAAATATAATTAAAATTAATCGTTCATAACTGTTCTTGCGAGAGTTGTTACGGTCAATGAAGTTTAATCGATTATTTTAAGTTAAAAGGAAACGTATATCAAAAATTGATTTATTTAAAAAATTTGCTCGTAACGATAATTTTTGCATCGATTTTCTTTAACTTACAATAATTCAGTACATTTATTAATTTGTAACGCTTCTATTTTTATAGTTTTGAGCATCGTTTCTTATGTATGTATGCGTTAATTATCTTGTTGTATATGTTGTCTATAATTTGTATTTTATAATTTATTACTTCTTAAAACGATACTAAACATTCAGTAAATATTTCAAAAATTCATCGTTATATGTGTGTATATCTAAACGTGTTAAAAGTAGGAAATGCCATCGACGATTATCGAAAAACTAAGCTGAAAAGGCTGAAATAACGTAAAACTTTCTTATCAGTCAACCTTCCTCTTAAAACGTCCATCACGTGGCCGTAAGAAAGCTTCTTCATCGATGATCGTTCCGGTTGCATGCAATTTAATTTCGATCAAGGTACAAACAGGCTAAGGGTTGGCTACGTCTTATTGTGTCCAACGATCCATCGAGTTTCACTTAATGCTCCCGTTGATATTCATTCATGTTCGCGTTTAAGTTGCCACGCGCACACCGTCATACGGGCTCTCACACATCCACACACACATAAGTACGTGCAGAAAGTATACACGCAGACAGACAGCTCGGAGACACACGCACGGGCACGTACGAGAACGCACATTATCTCAATTGACCCAAAAGGAAAGCTAGCATCACGAGGACCGTCTTCGATGTTGGCGAACCTGCTGCCGTGTTTCCGTGCTGCATTGCAGCTGGATGCTCTCCTGGAACAAGAGCAACGAAGGCTGGATTAGTGTCTGTCCTGCACTTCCGGTTCCAACCGGAACACTTCGTTTTTTCACGGTTTGCACCGTACAAGAAGAAAAAAAAGTGGAAGGTTTTATACGTTCTCGTGTTGTTACCTTCTTTCTCTTTGGTTTCGGGTCTTTTCTCTTAATATTTTTTCTGTTCCGAGGTTGGGCATACTTACTCGAATTACGAGCAACTGCATCGGGCCTTACGGAGATTTCAATGTATATTTTAAAAAGAACGAGACGGAAGAAAAAAAATCTTTTATTTTTTTGCGGAATTTTATCTTTTACAGAACTTTCAGAAGCTACCGTTTTAGATGACGGCTCGATGGAAGAGAATAACAGTTATGGGAAGTCAATTTCCTAGGACGTCGATTTGAAATAGGAAATTCGAGGTAGAAAATTACTAAAAATACGACTGCTTGGTCGACCAGTTTGTTATTTTTCTTTTTCAAGTTTAGTTAAAACGATCTTTGGGTTTTGAGGGTACCTTCTCTTAAGATTCTGATTGCAAGCTTCTCGAGATTATTTTCTTACGATGGAACGTTTACGACTTCGTTTTGACTTTGAAAAAACAGGGTCATTGTTTTCTGATTGCTCGGAGAATTTTCCTATAGCAAGAACAAGATGACCACTCTCTTTAAATAGGTCATACTGAGGAATAAGAAACCTGGAAGTATCGTACAAAAACGCTGTGTGTGTTCCTTCCAAATGGTCTTGGTAGTCGTAAACTCATGAAACATAAACAGCTTGCTTCTGGCTTAAATGGACAAAGTTTCGAAGAGCGTGGAGATACTTAAAACGAGTACAAAATTCACAGGGATATAAAGCCACGGTGGCTTAATTTCTGAGATATTTCCGTCCCGTTTTGAACTATCTTTAACGATATAAAAGAAACTTTTATTTTCAAATTGTAACTTTTCTCTTTCTTTGTTACTTACTTATGTGGTAACTCCACGTTTGTGTAATAATTCAGACACGTTCACGGTAATAATTCTTACAAGATAAAAATATACAGAATATGCAGAGTAAAGTACTCAATGATAATATCTCGTAGCTAAAACTGATCTCTATTTAAGTTCTATCTTTTATTCCCTCCAATATTAGACGCATGCAAAAGTTTCAAGCCCTTTTATCAATTTTACATTTTCAACTACATCACTTTCAATACATTACAAATTGATGTTCGAAACACTTGGTACGATTTCCTGTCAACTTTCAAATTTCGTCGCGAAGAAATCACACAAAACACTTTCGTATTTCTGTAATATTTCGAAAGTGTTGTCTGACTAAAGAGAGCTAAATACATCGAACTTCTCAGCCCGAGTTAAAGATAGTGATTCAAGTCACATGCGGCTTAGGCGTTGTGGTCGTTGCTCATTGTGCTCATTGTGGTTTTGTGAAGCGGTCGCAAATCGATCACAAAGTTGGCGTTTCAGACAAATCGATACCAACCAAACAATTGCGCAAAAAGGTGAGAAATTGTATCGATTAAAGATAATTGTTCGTGAAAAGTTTAAAAAAAAGGCTCAAATTTTTCCATATATCTAGTTTTGTTTAAATAAAAACCATAAGTGTTGCTTACAGACGAGTGTTGCCATATTACCATAGAAAAATGAAAAAAAAAGAAAAAAATAAAATATGCATATCAGAGCGAGGAACTGCACCACATTCTCCACTAGAATCGTATCCTTGATTAATTTCTCGCTAATTACAGCAAGCTAGAACGACGTTCGTTGACGGGATAAACCAGAGAATTACTGCTATCAGCTATAGGAGTACCATGATGTATACCAGATTAGATGTCCATTTCGTATAGGCAATTAGATAGTAATTGCATGCAGCAGGCTTCACTGTACCGCAGATGATACCAACAACAGGAGGAACAAGAGCCACTTGTTTCAATTATGAAGAAATATTACTTAATTTCCTGCCGCTATTCCCTATATAAGATATTATTTCACTATATAGAATATTATCTCAGGATCATTGTATATAGGATCACTGTATATTATTATCAGGATTTAGTAGCTTGTTATCATTTTTCGTCGTTATTACCTCGATAGTCATCTTCCAGAAACGCTTATGGTAATCTTCAGTCCAATAAATTCTGCATTCGCTCGGCCAATCTGATTCGAGTCGAAAGAGATTTCCGGTTAAAATTCAAAGTAAAATTTGTTCGTGATATATTCTTGACCGAGTTTCTCAATAGGTTTATCTACAAAAATTACTTGAACAAGTATCTAAAAGTAAAATTTCAATGCGTAAATGGTATATATTTAGCATTGTAATTAGCAAGCATAAAATCGATATATTACGCGAAATAAAATGACAAATCAACTATATTTCAGTCATTATGTCGTGTTACACGTACGTCACGCGCGTTAGTTGTCGTTTATAGGTTGCACGATGCTTTACTAATATTTAGACTGTAGATTTCACTTGTATAAATGAACGTAATAACCGTTGACATGGAATTATTGATCGCGTTGACTGAAATAATGAATTAAACGTTGATTTCAGTTTACAGTTTACGTTAGTAAATGAAACTTCTTTCGATTCAAAGTTTCATTTGTATGTTTCTTTTCGTGTGAAATAATATTACCTTCTTTTTATATTTGTAATTCGACTACAATACGTGGCTCGAACATCACCATCAAGATATATTTCACAGATCTGCTAATAAAATCTCGACCGTGAAGCACGTGCGATTCTATAGGAGAATCAGAGAAAAATAGATTTCACAGAGAGTTAAAACGCGCGGCAAGGATTTGTCAATTGGTAGCAGCGCGTCCGATTATATTCGGTCGCCTGTTCTAATGGACGCCAAAAGCCCCTCTAACCGGTGCCTCCATCATTGATAATAGAATATTTAATCATTTCGACAGGCCGGTGAAATCGCGTCGAAACTACGTGAGTCTCGTACCGAATGCTTTTAATTACACGACGTTAACTAATTATATTTCGAACGGTGCCCGGTCCCGTAACGATCCACATTCTCGGCACGAGTATTCCGGCTGGAAGCGTCGAATTACTCGTATGATGTCTGCCCGACGCAATTCCATAATTGACCGTCTAATCGATGCTCTAATTCCTGTTCTGTCGTGACGGTTTAAAGGGCTCCCGTCGCCCTACGCAATTGACGGCCAGCCCGATTAACGTTCCGTGTCTTAAGTCCCATTGAGAAAGGGAATTTACGTTGCTGACGAGATGACATGACATTCAAGTTACGCGTCGTTATAATGAAATAGCTCGTGGAAGATTGATTTCACTGGGTTAGAAAAAATCATCGTCGACAGATGATATATAGTCTTGAATGTAGACTTGAAAAGAGGGATTCGTATTTGGGACAGGATTCTGAGATTTTGGGAGTCGATTTGAACAATAGCGTTGGAATTATTCTCGCAATTGAACCTTTCAGAAGACAAACTCGTCAATCTCATCATCCAGTTACACGATTAACCTTCAATTTTCAAAGAACCAAAACTCAAATAACAAGGCAAACGAATTAATTCTTAAGCTTCCATCGAATCTTTCTTCATGAACTTGACATGATGCTTACGAAATTTTGAATGACTTATATCAATTATTCCAAGTTTATAGCGAAACGTAAAACTCAGTACTTTACGTTATTTGTTGCTGTAATTATACTAATTAGTAGCTCCGCTAATTGCAGAATAATTTAACGAGCAAGTCGCGTGTGGAAATAAAATAAAACGTTGATTAAAGCTAAATCAATAATGTCGACTAGTTTCTTCCCTTGCATCATTTCCTGAGAACTTTTAATAAACTTTATCTTTTTCTTTTAAAGAACTAAGATTTATATTTTTTTCTACGATTGTATACATTTGCACTTCTGAAATATCATATACCGTGATCCTACATAATTTCGTGATATAATCGAAGTCATTCTCTTGTTATCAAAATTTTCTGTTCTTAAAATTTTGTTCTTCTTAAATAACTACATTACGTAGGATCATATTTCTTTAATCGCTAAATAACATCAAATTAAGAAATTCATCAAAAATGCACTCATTATGTTCTTGTTTAACAATCTTCGTTCCTAACGTTATCTCGATCGTTTCTTTCCAGAAGCAGATTGTTCGAAGAACCAAAATCATCAAAGCTCTATTTAGAACGTATTAGCCGTGAGTCAGTAGCGCGATATTTTCGCTGGAAATTACCAGGTAAAGGGATGCAGCTTGTTACGGAACACTGGGAAAGCTCGTCACGAGGCCGGCCACGTCACGTAAATCGTATTGCGCGTGATGTGCAACAACAAGTAAGGTGTATGACGGGCTGAAATTAGTAGCGAAAGCAAGCCTTGGCACTGCGCCGAAAATACATGGCAATTTTATTTCGGCGCGCCATGGGAGACAGGAAAAAAGAGAGCCGACCAACACCATAGTAAGTGATAAATCACGAACCATGGCCGTTAAATAATAAATCAAAGCTATGCTTGCAAAGGTTCGCGAAATTAGCAGAGATTTCGGAGACTTTTGTAGCGCGATAATTCCCAAGTATAATAATCAACAAATCCAATTTACAATCTTATTGTCTACTAATATTTCGATGGAGAATTTTCAGAATTAGGAACAAAAGTTTCATTAGCATATTTTACGTAGCAAGACTCGCACATTCATGACATTCTCGACTTTTTTTATAATAGCCAATGAATTATAACAGCTAATAAGTTCAATTTACATTTGATTAGCCACGAATATTTCGATGAATAATTTTTTGAAACAGCAACAAAAGTTCCATTACTACATTTTGCCTAGCAAGACACTCATATACTTTTCTAGTTCGTCTCATTTTCATGAGCGTTCCACGCCCTTTATCGCTATACCTGTTTTTACCGCTCCTATTTTTTCCCCAAAGCAGTTAATTCGTATCCAGAGTTTCTACATTGAACGACGAAAGGATGAGAATTCGAAGGAACAGCATTCGTCGAGTAGTAGAAATAGTTGGTAACAACGTTCTTTGACTTCGTGGCTATTATGAATATTTGAATATTTATCTTTCGCGGCGTCCGCTGCATTCATAGAGCATGGTACACAGATGAATTTATACACTTTACTTGAGATAATTACCGTTCGAAATGAGTCCGCAACTCATTTCTACGGATTGAGTAAGAAAAGCAATTTTCGATAGCGAAGGATCGCACCAGGTTTATCGAGATTGCGTATCGGTTTCCGCCTCGGATGTCGACCGATTCTTTGTTTCTTTTGTCCAGCACATGATATTATATTGTAGTATCGTGGACGAAAGGCCTAAGAGATATCGGGCGAACTATAAACAATGTCGCGAGAAAGCCGAAGTGCCGACGGGCCCAATAATGTATCGTCGGTCCTTCAATCGAATAGTTTCGCGGAAAAGGTCTGCGTGATCCCGGCCACGAGCGGTTGCGAAACACGTGCGTGGTAGGGCTAAGACAAAAGACAAAGGGATGCTAAGGACAAAGACGAATTAACAGTATCAGTTGAGAAGTCAGAGAGTGTAAATCGAGAAGTCAAGGAATGCGAATTGTGTTGTCGAGAGAGTGTGGTCTGCGTGAGAGAGAGACCGCGGTGGATCCGCGGTGACGAGAGTTGCAAATCAACTATCTAGTTGTTTTAATTATAATACGTTATTGTGATTAGTTCACGTTAAACAATCATCGTTTCCTGTTTAACCAACATCTGTTTAATCCACTTATTGTAAATAAACTAATTGTAGTAAAGATCCTACAGTATGTTTTATACAAAACATCTCGAAACTTTTTTGGCAATGTAATTCGGTAATGAAAAATGACCGTCACGATTTTATCGGTAAAACGTGAAACAAATCTGTAGATGTTAAAGGATATTCTGATAAAGAAATTCTTTATTGGAAAATAAGAGTATATGGATTTAACTATACATTTAATATTTTTTGGTGGAAACAGGCATTGAATATTTTCAAAATCGCAGGGAAATAACGGGTAAACCCTTTAATTCGTTGAGCCGGTAACGCTTTATTTAAGAAATCGCATGTGGCGTGTCTCTGTCTAGCCGCCAAAGAAATCTAATTCTCTCTATCTCACCTGCTCTCTAATTTTTCTCTCGTTAATGGTCCGAATTAAATAAATTCAAATACCCCTTTAACAAATACAATTACCGGTAATTCGCCGAAGATAATTATCTCTCTGCCCTCTGACCACTCCCCTACTCGCGTTTTCGAGTGGAAAAAGGCCAAAAGATAAAGAGGCGGAGGCTGAGAAAAATAGTCGGGGGCATAGAGGAAGGGAGAGTGAAGTACAGAGATAACCAGCAAGTACGTAGATAGGGTGAAACTAAAAGAACGGAAGGCAATGATATATAGGGAGTAACAAATGATAAGGGAGCCACTTATGGGAAAGAAAATTGTCTATGACTTACGATATCCTTCTATATTTGTGTCTCTATGTAAGAACGTTTAATAGTTGTTGTCTGATTTGTATCTGGTACAGTAAGTTCCATTGCTTTCCTTTATTTTATTTCGATTAATTTTCTTCTATATTATTATATCTTTTAATATAACCACTAGAAAAATCATTAATTTTTAATAGATATTTTAACTTTTACTTTGTAAAAGCTGTCGTACGAAAGACACATATGTACGTGCTGCGAGGAATGTATTTTATGGATGCAAGTACAGAAGTAATTCCTTACATCGTCCCTTGTTTTTTGTGCGTCATGTTTTTCAAAATAAAAGAATCAATTCGTAAACGTAAAGATTTTTATTGTTACAAATAATACGGTAAAAGTGAAAAAGAAAGGGGCGAGTATCTACGAATGTTAATAAGAGATAAAAATGAAAGATTCCTACGAAGAACGATATACGATGGTGGCGTATGAGTAGCGGCAATCTCGTTAGTCACCTTAATTAAGTGTAATTCATCAGGAAACGTACACAGTTTGTAGAAGGGCGAATTTTTCGCCTCGAAACGAAGAAGAGAGCTAGAAGTCGATTCGTCTTCATTAATTACTCGTGGCGTGTGATAGCCTCGGCCTGTGAAGTCGTGACTGCTGCATTATTTCGCGGATGCATCAAAGTCGTCACGTTTCGCGACTAAATTAATTCGAGCAAGATCAAGCAGCTTCCTGTCGAAGATTAGCTGATAACTAGCGGTGGAGCCGCTACAAACAAAGCATGGCTTTGATGGCTTTTTAAGTCACACACATACATACGTGACGACTACACTATAAATTCATATGCGTGTGCGAAGAGAATTTGTAAACAGAGAAACTTGTTATTGAAGATAATAACTGAAGCCATATACGAACGTTCAAAAAATCGACATTATTACGTCGAACGATAAACGAGGAAATATTGTATATTCTATGTGCAATGAGAAAAAAATATTAAAAAGCTATAGAAAGACCGAATGTCTGTGTGGTGCGATTAAAACATCGTAATCAATTTGATCGCATATATTAAATCGTAATATTTAAATCATATATTTAAAGAATTAAGAAAAGGAAAATAGAAAATAAGGAACGAAAAAGTTGCGTTGGAAATTCGTGC